TAGTGGAGAGAGCACTAAATGTGAAGCCAAGATCAGCACACATGGTCAATGGTTTTTTGAGACTGTTCATGTCACTTAATTTGTTTTCAGAGCTCAAACATGAAACTCAATCCTACATATTTCATAATTTCTTGTCTCAGTTTTTTTCTACACATTATTTTTCTTGTAATCAACAACTTATTGAGAACCTACTAAGTGCCAGGAACTATGCTAGGTAGGTTTTGTTATTCTAATGAGGAACTGAAGACATTATAAATAGAAACATAACCTTTTTGTTTGGAAGGTTTTAGTATCAAGTGAATGAAGTTACATATCCTATGGAATTAAAAAATACATAAGGCCTAGAAATAGCTTCCAAACTTAAAGTTCAAACATAAGGGGATATCTATTGAGGCTCACAAGGCAAAAACGGTGAACTTTGCTAACTAGATATTTTGAATCACTTCTGTTTACAGTACCATGCAACTCAAAGAAAATATAATTGAAACAACAGTACCATGCAATTCAAAGAAAATATACTTGAAACAATTATGTGAAAAATACTTAAACTTATGTAGAAATAACCAGGAAATGAAATGACAGAATCAAGAAGCCATACTCTTTCTCATTGGTTGCTTGTCTTATTACTTTCTCTGCACTAAACCTATGAAAAACCTACTTTGAGGAGATAACCGAGAGAAATGTCAAGCGACGTACAAGAACAAGCAATGACAGTGATATTTTATGAAAGTGTACAAGAAATAACAGACACATACCGCACACTGAAAAAAGTTACGAAATGTAAACACAGACGGGGTACATTTTATGAATGTATGCTGCTTTAATGGAGCAGCATTCAGATAGAAATTAATATAGAAGCTTTATTAACACAGTAAATCTGTCCTACCAACCTAATCTGGTCAATCCTTTCCATATAACAGTTATGAAACAAGCATATTCTTCAGCAGGCTTCTCATAAAATTCCAGAGATTTTAAAGGAAAGCGTAAGAACTAGACATCCTTTTCTCGTTAAAATGTGAATTGAATTTAAAGATGTCGTTAAGCAATCAATTCTGGGAAGCAAAATGCGTATAAAAAAACCGAAAAAATATATACACATATTTAACGCAGACATGAGTGTGACGAAATATCAACGACAGGCTCTAATTAGTTTATAAGGATTACGAGTCAACATAAACCTCTCTCTTAAAGTCAAAATGTTTTAAGATTTAGACCCAGAGAATAGGCAGTCGGAAGGTCAAAAAGGGGAAATCCTTTTTTTTCCAGCATTTTCTAACGAAGGCTGTCTCCCCCAATTATAAAAACTTTTGTAGGTTGGTCTCCACCGTGAGCTGCCTGGAGACAGCAGAAGCGAGGTATCCTCAATGAATAGCTAAACCATCTCCTAAATTAATGTCTTCCCTTGACTAGAAAGCATTTCAGAGTAAAAGCATGTACGAATTCTGCCGTAATAGGAAAAGGGGTTAGTGTGCAGGGAACGAGAATAGAGAGCGGGGGCACTAAAACATGTTTAGTTAACAGCGCTCAAAGTCTCCCCACAACCCGTATTCCCCTCCATCTCAGTCAGACCAGGCTATTCTCTCCTTGTCCGAAGGTTTAGGGGTCAGAGAGAGATGTGGGGTCAAAGTGGCTTCCGCGACAGGTCCCCTCCCTGTTTCCCCTCGGTTGAGCCCAGATCTCCACTCTGAACCGACCTAAGAGCTGGTCCAGGGCTGGGAGCCCAGTTGATACCAGCAGCTGTCCATTCCGCACCGACGGTCGCGTGCCCGTAATGGACACCAGTCGAGGGCCGCTGTCGTTGGTCCCGCTGGCTCTAGGACCCCTCCTCTGGAAACTCGTGACGTTGCTCTTGCTGCCTGTCGCCACCGCAGACCCAGCACTCCCGGCGTCACCGCCGCAGGTTGCCACTGCCGCCATTTTGAAACCTCCCAAGTTAACCCAATAGGAACTCTGGGAACGCAAATCTCCGGCCTGTCAGAGCCGTTCCCAAACTCCCGCCTCCTGGCCCCTACCGCGGCTCTCGTAACCAATAGGACTGAGACGTCCCTCCCAAGCCAACCAATCGGAAGGCGCATTGCTGAAAAGTGCTTTCTACGTAAGGACGTTCGACTTCGGTGGAGCCCAGGTGAGAAAGGCCCACCTGTGTCGTGGTTGCGGGTCTTCAGGGTTCTTTGGGGCCAGAGGTAGGTAATACCACGTAACGTTCTTCTCCTTTTGAGTGCCTTCATTCACACTGAGTTAAAGAAAATGTTGGTGAACCGATAAACCTTAGGGCTTATCAAGCAATTGCTAGTAGCTTGCACCTTTCTCCGCTGTTTGAGGAGAGACTTTTTTCCTGCTCATTTCTCTTTTGATTTCTCAGAGAAAATTCACTCCGCCTTCCCCACGATGTCTTTTCCTTAATTTTGTGTTATATGGAAAGGATGGGGCCTCTTAACCTTAATGAGTTGCTTGCTGAACGCCGGGGCTTAGTTCGCTTGTGCCTAGAGGTTTGGATTTAGACCTCAGAGCGAAAACTCTTGAACTTTGAGGTCCATCTGGTTTTCCTGCGTCTGACAAAATATACCTCTCTGATAAGTTACGATATGAAGCTTTCGTTAATTTTAATTAGTGCTTCTGGAAGTCGTGGTTGTCTTTCCTCAGCGGTGTAAATGACAAGTGTTACTCTGACAACCTTGTTCACACATTTAATTGTCGTTTGCTGTTAAAGCCGCTGCAAATAACAGAAAATGCTTTGGGTATCTTTCCCCAAAAAAACTGCTGGGAAGAATTAGGAATGTACTTACTTTATTTTGTGAACCTTGAATTGAGAGTTTATTACTAAAATAGGGATTTTATATGTGGGGAAAAAAACATGTATTTTGAGTTGTATTTTCGTGTTTAGTTTTTTTCTGAAAATTGAGCAGGGATCCCCCTGCTCAGTGGGTAACTGATGTTTAAAGGCAATCATGACTGACAAATGTCTAAATTAAAAAGATTCCCAAATCATTCCTGCACTGCTGAGTTACTGACTTTGACAGCCATCTGTGATACCTTTTAATTAGACCCAAACTTCATTGAAATTCTTGCAATTGAATTGTTTTGAATCTCATTGACCTGTTGAAATTTTTGGACTGATTCTATTTGATAAATTGAAGTTAGTATTGCTAAATAGTGACTGGAGTTTTTCATTTGGGGAGGATTTTTGTTTGTTTGCTTGTTTTTTAGAACCATGTTTAGGAAAAAACTATTTCACACTATATCAACTGGAAAGCTTTGATCAAGGTTGCTTTCATATTGAATCTTAAATCTAAGTTATTCAATAAATAACTGTTGAATGATTACTGTCTGCTTGGACTTAATCTTGTCATTTTAGACCTATGGTAATAAAAATCTGGAGAAGATAAAATTAACACATGGAAAGCAACATATTACTTAAAACGAACACATTAAATAGTATGTGCTAATTTTATCCTGTAGTAAATAAGCACTAAGACCAAAACAAAAAGTGACAAAGCAGTCCAATATCAGAGAGAAACTTCTTGAATATCTTCTTTCTTTAACTTTATTTTAGGTTCTGGGCTTCATGTGCAGGATGTGCAGCTTTGTTACATAGGTAAAGGTGTGCTGTGGTGGTTTGCTGCACAGATCAACCCATCATCTAGGTATTAAGCCCAGTATCCATTAGCTATTCTTCCTGAGGCTCTCTGTTCCTCTACCTCCACAAGTATTTTTGATGCTCTGAAATTTTTGAAATACTACATATAATTATTATTTTTTGACAGATAGCATTGTTTGTATCGTGTACCACATGATGCTATGAAATATATGTACATTCTGGAATGGTTAAATCTAGCTCATTAGCAATGCATTACCTCAGATAGTTATCATTTTTGTGGTAAGAGTACATAATATCTACACTCTTTGCATTTTTTAAAGAATACAATGTATCATCATTATAGTCAACTTGCGATAATTTTATGCTATATAATAGATTTTTTGAAATTTATTCCTCCTATCTAATTGTAGTTATGTATCCCTCACCAAGGTCTCTCCATCCTCACTCCAACCATCCTGGCCTCTGGTAAACACCTTTATACTTTCTACTTCTATGAGATTAACTATTAGATTCCACCTATAAGTGAGATCATGTTCTATTTGTCTTTCTGTGCCTGTCTTATTTCACTTAACATAATGGTATAATTAGTTTTTATAGGCTTCTGTACTACATATTCCTTTGTTTCCTACTGTATTTACTTAACGCTTTAGTTTTCCAAAGATGATGATAGTGGTGCTTTGTTTGCCTCATTACTAGAACTGAAGAATTCTTTTCCAACTTCAACTATAATTCTGGAAAGATGATCTACGTACACACCAAAGTATTCGTGAATTTAGGATATACCTCTGGTATAACACTATCATAGAATAAATCGGCTTTTTTGTTTTTTTTTTACAAAGATAAAACCTTTGCTCCCAAATAAGCCCAGATTCTTGAACTTACCAGCAAACAGTAGAGTTAACTATAAAACATGGGAATAAATGAAGTATTCATGGAAAGGAAGAGTTATAAGTTGTAGAGTTGACTATAAAACATGGGAATAAATGAAGTATTCATGGAAAGGAAGAGTTAAAAGTTATATGTTTAGGTGTATTATTAATTAATTAATTCTTTATGAAGGACATACTGAGTTCCAGGAACTCCATCAGAGCTCAGGTTACAGGAGAAAAATATACTGCCTCCTTACTTCTTGAGTTCACAGCTAGGGAAGATAGATGGGTAAATAGGCTTATAAAGTATAGTTAACCCATGAACAATGTGGGGATCAGGGTGTCGACCCCCACACCCATGTAGTTGAAAATGCACATATAACTTTTGACTCCTCCCAAACTTAACTGCTAATAGTCTACTTTTGATTACTGGAAGCTGTACCAATAACATCCGTGGATTAACATATAATTTGTATGTTATATGTGTTAAGTACTGCATTCTTACCATGAAGTAAGCTAGAGAAAAGAAAATGTTAAGCAAATCATAGGAAGAAAATATATTTGCCATGCATTAAGTGGAGGTGGATCATGATACAGGTCTTCATTCTTATCTTCTTCATGTTGAGTAGGCTGAGGAGAAGGAGGAAGAGAAGGGGTTGGTCTTGCAAATCTCAAGGGTGGAAGAGAACCAGAAGGTAGAAGGGGAGGCCGAAAAGGTAGGCGCACTCAATATAGCTTTATGAAAGTTCATCCTAATTTGTCGGTTTTGCTTTTTCAGCTCTCTAAAAATGTTTCTGTACAGTACCAATTCGTCTTCTGTTGTTTGCTTTATTTTCAGTGTCTGTGTTATAGTAGGCATCCATGTCAGGAGAAGTCAAAGCAGTCTTGAATAACTGGAACAACACTTCTGCCAGATTGCCTAATATCAGCTTGTTTTCTGGCACTGCTTCTTCTACCTCTTATCATCTGGCACTGTTTGGAAGCATTCATCTCCATCAAGTCATCTTCTGTTAATTCCTCTGATGTGGTTTCTGTTGGCTCTTGAATTTCTCCAATATCTGTATCTTAAACTCTTCCCTCCCAACTTTTTTTTTTTGGCAATATTCACAATCTTCCCCATGACTTCCTTGATTGACTGTTGTAAATCCTGCAGGAAACCAATTTGAGATAAATAGAAAACATATAATGAACATGATAAGCAATTAGCACCCTCTGATACAAGTGGACACCTCTTCAGTTGGTTTTTCAGTGACTTCTCTGGCCCTGCAGTCCATATCACTTTTATGTCTGTGCAGGTAAAGTGTATAGCAGAGATACTGTGAAGGCTCTACTGGGCCTGCTGGTATTCCAGCAGCGTGATTGAAGGAATGAATACTAAAGTCATGCCTAAACAGAGGGAATTCCTCAACTTGTGGTAATTTTTTTTTTTTTTTTTTTTGCTCCCTTTGTGTCATTATATTCGCAAAGAGAAACTATAGTCCTGAGTTATAGCACCACAGATTTCTTTCACTGTTTTTCTACTTTTCTACCTTTATTATACTCTCTGCTTCTATGAGATCAACTATTAGATTCCATTAGATCCACTATTAGAGTCTGTGTTTGACTTCCCTTGCTTAACATTTTTGTGAAATGATTCTTGTTAGTGTGTATTGTGGCTGATCTATTCTTATTGCTGTATAGTATTGTAAAAATGTATTACAATTCATTATCTGTTCTGCTATTAAAAGGGATTTGGATAGTTTCCCATTTGTGGCCATTTTTTCAATGCAATTGTACCAGTTTATACTCTTACCAGGAGCAATTGAGAATTTTTGTTACTTCTCATCCTTATCAACACAATATTTTTCTTTCTTTTCATTTCAGCTATTTTAAGAGGGTTGTGGTATGGCTTTGTCATTTGAATTACTACTGATGAAGTTGAGCACCTGTTTATATGTTTATTGGCCATTTGGGTAAACGCTTTTGTGAAAGGGTCTATTCATGTTTTTTAATTTTACAAATTTGGATTGTCTGCCTCTCTCCCATGGATTTATAGGAGTTCTTTTACATTTTGGATGAGTTCATTTTCAAATAAATTCATTACAAGTATCTTCTGTTAGTCTGTGGCTTGTCTTTTCATTTTCCTGTCTTTTGATTTTAGTCAAAATATATTTTGACTTATCAATTTTGTCTTTTTGGCTAGTGCTTTATGGCTGTGTTTGCTACTCCAAAATTTTGAAGATGATCTCCATGTTTTGTTTTTCTAAAAGCCCTGATGTTTTACTTTTAATATTTGTGTTTGCACTTTGTTGGAATTGACTTGTGTGTGTTTGGTGTGAGGCAGTGGTAAAGATGCATTTGTGTTTCCTATATTGGTGTCCTATTGACCTAGCACCATTTACTGAAAAAAAGATCTTTCCTTGCTATGTTTACTCATCTTTTTTTTGTTTTTTTTTGAGGCAGAGTCTTCCTCTGTCGCCCAGGCTGGAGTGCACTGGCATGATCTCAGCTCACTACAACCTCCGCCTCTTGGGTTCAAGCGATTTTCCTGCCTCAGCCTCCTGAGTAGCTGGGACTACAGGTGCGTGCCACCACACTCAGCTAATTTTTGTATTTTTAGTAGAGACAGGGTTTCACTAAACTCCTGACCTTGTGATCCGCCCGCCTTAGACTCCCAAAGTGTTGGGATTACAGGCATGAGCCACTGCACCCGGCTGCATCATCACTTTATTAATAAAGTCACACATAAATTAGGCAGATTTCATTTTGAACTTTCCATTGGTTAGTGTATGTCTTCAGGTTCTTCAGGAAGCTGGCTTCCTTTCAGAATTTTAGCCACACTGTACTGTGCTGACCTCAGGTTAAATCAGTAAGAACAGGAAACTCACCCTGTGGCAATTCTTTCTTACCTAAGTCTGACTATCCAGCATGTTTGCTTCTGTAGAGCTGAGACTCCATCTCAAAAAAAAAAAAAAAAAAAAAAAAAAAAACTGTAGAGACTTCATGTAATTGATCTTTGTCTTTTGTTCAGAGTTTATAGTTGTTATCTATGGTAGGATTGGTCTGTTATAAGCTTACTTTGCTATACTGGAATGAGCTCTTACTATCCTTTGTGACTCTAGTAATTTCTTCATTTATTTATTGCTGATAAATATATATCAGCAATTGATAATGAGTTTCTTTTCTTTTTTTCTTCATTGTTAAATGTTGCTGGGAATTTTTCACTTAATCTTTTTTTAAAAAAACCCAAATTTGGCTTTATTGGTTTTTCTCAGTGTTTACTTTCTACTATTGAATCGATTACCACTCTTTATTATTTGTTTCCTTCTACATTTCATAGTTTTGATTTGCTGAGGTTTTGTTTGTTCTCCCTTCTTATACTAAAAGCTTAATTTATTGATTTTCTGCCTTTTCTAATAGATCATATATAGTTAGGGTGTGCTCTAGCTGTTCCTACAAATATGGCATTTTATGTTTTAATGACTTATTTCAAAATATTTACTAATTTTTGTTTTGATTTTCTCTTTGGTCCATGGATTATTTAGGACATTTTTGAAAGTGATGAAATACTGAATTATATTGGATGCTAGGAAATCAGAAGTAAGCTGGAACTGACCAGGGCAAAAGAGTACTTATGGTCATCATAATTTTAGTGGATTTTAAGGTATAAACAGAAAACTGGGGAATTTAAATTAAAATTTAAAAAGCCATTGTATAGTCATGTCTAAGAATGTGCAGTGTAATGGGGTAAATGCGTCCAAGGGTGAATATGTTTTAGTTCAAGATTCGTCAAATAAATCTATCTACAAGAAAAAATAAAGGCAACCAAGATGTTTTTAATGGTCAACACAAAAGCATTAAAATTTTTAGCAAAAAAAGAAAAAGAAATTTCAGAGAATGGTCCAACATTTGTATATTATTCAGTCTGGGACTTTTCTTCATATTTGCATGTAGCCAACATGAGGCATTAAATAATGGCTTACTGTTGTTCCTCTTACATGTCAACTAGAGTCTCATAGGATAAAGCTGCCATGTTAAAGCATGTGTGATGTTCTAATTATCATGGACATTTTGGCTCAGATTTGATCAATTTCCCTTCAGTTTGAATAATTATGGAAGCCCAGGAGTAGGCCAAATATTTAAACTATTCCATATGAAGCTTCTTAAATCACATATATTGATTTTGCATGAAGGGACCCCCAGGCTCCTAAAGCTCCTCTCTAAAGAAATATATAATTCCTGGACCAATGGGTAGTATTAGAGTGAAATTTATTATTTTGACTACTGTTTCTCAGTTTAAGAGTCTGGATATGAAGTACATTTTGATGAGTTTCTTGCAGGATAAAATCAAAGTTAGATATCCTAGCAAACATTGTTTTCAGTAACTCAGAACCATATTGGATCCATTTATTACCACAGTTTAAAAAATTGCTAATGGCCCTTGTTTTATGTAATTATTCTACCTCATTTTGAATTCTGTTTTCTTAGGAAACTTTTTTTATTATTGCTTTCAAATTTGATATCATTCATTACATTCTCAATCTTGAACTATTTTATAATCTTTTCCACATCTATGATCGATCATATTTAGTTTCTCATTTGTAGTACTATATCTTTGAATTTTCTCTCAATTTACATTTTTTCTCCCTGACTTTGAAGGATTTTAGAAATATCTATTTCAGTGATATTTTCATACAACGATGTCTTAGATTTATGCATTAATTATTTTCTTTTTCTTTCTTTCTTTTTTTTTTTTTTTTTTTTTGAGGCAGAGTTTCACTCTGTTGCCCAGGGTAAATTGCAGTGGCATGATCTTGGCTCACTGTAACCTGTGCATCCCAGGTTTAAGTAATTCTCATGCCTCAGCCTCCCAAGTAGTAAGGATTACAAGCATATGTTACTATGCCAAGCTAATTTTTGTATTATTATTATTATTTTTTTTATTAGAGGTGGGATTTTACCGTGTTGGCCAGGCTGGACTCAAACTCCTGGGCTCAAGTGATCCACCTGCCTCAGCCTCCCAAAATGCTGGGACTACAGGCGTGAGCCACCATGCCCAGCCATTATTTTTGTTTCTAAAACCCCTAATTTCTGTGTTTTTCTAAATGTATTTCTTCTTCCTGCTTCTCTGAGTGTCTTTTGCCATTCTGTGCTGCTGTAACAAAATACCTGAGATTGGGTAATTTATAATGAACAGAAATTTATTGGCTCACAATTCAGGAAACTGCGAAGTCCAAGATTGAGGGGCTGGTGTCTGGCGAGGGTGTCCTTGCTGTGTGATTACATGGTGGAAGGGCCCAAGAGAGGGCAAAAGAAAAAAAGAGAGTGAACTCTCAACTTCAATCCCATTTATAGTTTGCATTAATCCATTCATGATTGTGGAGCCCTGAGATCTAAACACCACTCAATTGACCTCACCTCTCAAATTGCACTGGGAATTAAATTTCCAACAGGTGCTTTTTGGGGGACACATTCAGACTGTAGCACTTACGTATGTTTTTTCAGTGTAGCAATTGTTAAAGCAATAATTAAAATGCAGTTACCTATCGTGGTAATATCCAGATGAGCTCTGTCCAGTAGAACCTCCTGTGTTGATGGAAATGTTCTGTATCTACACTGTCCAGTATAATAGTCATTAAACATATATGATTATAGAGTACTTAAAATTTGACTGATATGACAGAGGAACTGAATTTTAATCTTATTAATTTTAATTATTTTAGGTTATTTATTTAAACAGCTATATGTGGCTAGTTTGTACTATATTAAATCACACAGCTCTAGATCAAGATTTGGCAAGCTTTTCCTATAAAAGACCAAATAGTAAATAATTTTAGGCTTTGTGGTCCATATGGTCTCTATTGCAACTATTCAACTGCTATGGGAGCACAAAGCAGTCACAGATAACATGTAACAAAATGAGCGAGAATTTGTCCCAGTAAAACTTTATTTGCTGGGCCGGGCGCGGTGGCTCAAGCCTGTAATCCCAGCACTTTGGGAGGCCGAGGCAGGTGGATCACGAGGTCAAGAGATCGAGACCATTCTGGTCAACATGGTGAAACCCCGTCTCTACTAAAAATACAAAAAATTAGCTGGGCATGGTGGCGTGTGCCTGTAATCCCAGCTACTCAGGAGGCTGAGGCAGGAGAATTGCCTGAGCCCAGGAGG